ACACACACACTCACAATTTTTATATTGTGTAGACTAGACCTTTTAAAAATACCAACAGTATATCTTCATGATGGGCAGGTGGGGATAACCTGAAGAATATCTACTAAATTTAAATGAAGGAGGAATTCCACCATCACACACAAGCCCAAGTACATATCGGACCCTGTGGAACTTCAGATCCTACCCAAATAATTGAATTCATCAGTATATTGCTTTTTTGCCTCTTATTTGAAACAAAAACAAAACAAAACAAAACAAAACTTACCTCAGGGTCTTTCCAGACATTAGGGTTTTTATGAACGCAATGAATAGCAACTACCACTATAGAGCCTGTAAAATAAAGAACAAGAGATGGTGATGATTACAACATCTAGAATGCTTCAGTGCACTGAAAAGATCTATGGCCATTGAGATTCAAATAATTTTGCAACTAGTTACATGAACCAAGGGAATCTGGGAGCATGATTTTCTAAATAGCATTCCTCAAAGGCATGGACAAAGGAGCTCCTTGGATTCTGGTTTGTTTTTTCTGTTCGGATGGTGGTCTTGCGTGAAGTCAGCACAACAAGGAAGTGGTCAAATTAGCTTATAACTTCAAATTAGTCAGGGTGGTTAGAACAAAAAGAGAATGTGAGGCTCTCTTCAAACCGGGAGAATGGGAATCAAAATAGCAAATCGTTCTATGTAGGGGAGTGTCAAATGATTCTCACTGGTGAGAAAAGAGGGATCCCAACCTCACATAAAAACAGAAAGAACTGGGGCCAATGATGACTGACCAAGAAAGAGTTCTTGGGGAAGTGGTGGACAGCTCAAAGAAAATTTTATTTGGTTTACATGGTCGCTGAGGAAGAGGTCAAGTCCACATTAGGCATAATTAGAAAAGGCATTGAAAACAAAGCAACTTATATGATATTTCTCTTATGCAAATCTGTGGTCTGACTGTGCACAATTCTGGCCATCACTGTTAAAAAGAAGATTGTAGATTTGGGAGAAGTCCAAGAAAGTGCAACCAAATTTTTTTTTTTTTTAATTTTCATAATATTAGAACTCTGGGTCTCATATCACATAGCATGGAATTCTCTTCTGTAATATGTCATATGGCCATCCATTAGGGACAAATTTGTGGCAGAGGAGGCTTTCACTGGTTGCTAGTCCTTATGGCTGTATGCTACCTCCAGCATCAGAGGCTCTCTGCTGAAGTACACCAGTTTTAGCCTTTAGCATTCATGTCCTGCTTGTGGGTTTCCTGCAGAAAGCTGGTTGGAAAGCTGTTTGGCACCTGAAAAGAATGGATCTTGGCTTGATTTAGCGTTTAGGTTCTTAATGGATTTTGCGTGTGATAAAATGAAGTAGCAAAAGCTGAGCTCCAAAGTGGGGAGTGGGGGGGACTTATCTTTTCAATGTGTGTTGAAGGTTCAGAAAAATGCACAGTTCACCATGGAAAGTGGATGCAATTGCTTTTCAATAAACCTTCAAGTTTGGTATTGAGTTCAAATACAAGCCAGCTGCAAAAACTTATCTAGATCTTAGTTTTAATCTGAATAGATAAACCAACATCCTGCAGAAAGGAACCCTAGACATTACTCAGATTCCATGGGAACAGGGTTCAAATGGAGTACCTGTTAGTTCCATCTCCCACTCTGTAGGGAAATATAAGTCCCTGTATGGCATTTCAAAGAAATAACGTGAGGAAGCAGGACTATTTGCCTTTCCTCTTTTGAACTTGACCTGGAAGTGTGACACACTTAAGAGAGTTAAAAGGATCTCAGAGCTAAAACTATGGAATTTGCAGCCCCAGGAGGTGCTAATCACCAGCAGTGGAAACAGCTATTAAAGGGTATTAGACAAATGTATTTAGCTCTTCAATAGCTAACAGTCACGAGGGCTGCACACTACCTCTGAATACTGTTTGCAAAGAAACACCAGTGGGAAGATACTACTGTGCTCCGGCCCTGTTTGCGTGTTTGCAAAGGCATCTGGTTGCCCACTGTGGGATTAGAATGCTGGGTCAGCCTTTGGTCTGATCCAGCAGAACTCTTTTTATGTTCTAATGGCTGGGACAGATACCTTGAAAGACAGAACCAAAAGAAGTGAGCTTGATAGGCTGGAGCACTGAGCTACAAACAACAGAATGAAATTTCATGGGAACAAATGCCAAGTTCTGACCCTAGGAAAAATAAACCAAATGCACAATTTAAAAGAATCTGATTCCCTGTGCTTGAACTCTTTCTAATCTTTCTGAGGCCTCAATTCAAACAGCAGCTTTGACTGGTTCCACGCTGCAGAAGAGCCGA